ATTTTAGTTCATACCAATATGTCTAAAATTAAAAACTGTATTGTATTTCCCTTAGAAGTCCACTGGGAAATAGGAATATTTGGTGAGATAACCAATTCATAAAAATAAATTCATATGTATGAAACTTCATTTACTGAACTTTCCTATGTGCTTGACATTGCTACTAACCAGGATTATAGACTCCTTTTAAGACACTCACTAGTAGGGGACAAAGGCAAAAATATTGCCTTCTTATAAGTGAATCAGAAAGGTTGAACTTTACTATCTTGAAGAAAGCGAGGAACGAGTGAAGGATTTTCAGTAGTAGAGAAATATGGTAACCTAACAGACCGGCTAACCCAACATCCACTCCCCTTTCTCCACTGTCTATATTTACTAAAGAAGCTAGAAAAGGTAGAGGTTCATATTCCAAACCTCTCTTGCAGTGAGAGATGGTCATGTTGACAAAGTTCTTGTCAGTAAAATAGAAATCTACTTGAAAAGGCTTCTGGCAAAGCTTCTGATTTCCTGATGGCTACACAGGGCTTGCTCCACCCCTTGCCTTCTTGGCTTAACTCCAGCCTGTCTACAACTGTGCCAGCCATCCTATAACCTGAAGGGGAAGACCAAAAGCATCCTAGATAACACAGCAATGAGACTATTGAGCCTGCAGCCATCTCCAGATTTCTTATTCAAGATTATAAACCCATTTAAGTGATTTAAGTTTGGTTTTCTGTCATCTGAGTCTGAATGTTTTTCTAACTAATAAAAATTGTAAGAATAAATGTGTATTTTAGAATGTCCATTCCTGAATTAGTGTGGAGGATGGGTTAAGAAAGGGGCAAAATGACTCTGGAAAACAGTGTGGAGGTTCCTCAAAAAATTAAAAATAGATCTACCCTAGCAATAGCACTGCTAGGAATTTACCCAAGGGATACAGGAGTGCTGAGGCATAGGGGCACTTGTACCTCAATGTTTATAGGACCACCTTCAACAATAGCCAAATTATGGAAAGAGCCTAAATGTCCATCAACTGATGAATGGATAAGGAAATTGTGGTTTATATACACAATGGAATACTACGTGGCAATGAGAAAGAATGAAATATGGCCTTTTGCAGCAACATGGATGGAACTGGAGAGTGTTATGCTAAGTGAAATAAGTCAAAGAGAGAAAGACAGATACCATATATTGTCACTCTTATGTGGATCCTGAGAAACTTAACAAAAGACCATGGGGGAGGGGAAGGAAAAAAAAAAGTTAGAGAGGGAGGGAGGCAAACCATAAGAGACTCTTAAAAACTGAGAATAAACTGAGGGTTGATGGGGGGTGGGAGGGAGGGGAAAGTGGGTGATGGGCATTGAGGAGGGCACCTGTTGGGATGAGCACTGGGTGTTGTATGGAAACCAATTTGACAATAAATTTCATATTAAAAAAAAAACAAAAAAAGGAAGGGGCAAAATAAAGGTACTGAGACTTGTTAGGAAGTTATTAAAGAATTCTAAGCAAGAAAAACAAGGGCCTGAACTAAGGTAACTACAGTGGGGATAGTGAAGAAAATATAGATTACAGAGATATGTAAAAGATGTTAGAGATAGGGCAAAATGATGAAATAGTTTCAAGTTGTCTTCTAAGTTTCTAGTTTGAGCAACAGGATGGATGTTTGTGCTGTTCTCTGAGACCAATATAGTGAAGGTCTGATAAGTTCAGGTTTGGACATACTCAGTTTGAGATACCTATGGGACAATGTGAAAATGATGAGAAGGAAGTTGACTATGGATCTTGAAGTCAAGAATGAAGTCTGGATTGAAGGAATCCTTACTTGACAGTAACCATCATATAGAGTAGTACTGTCCAACAGAATAATGTAAGCCACATATACAATTCTAAAGTAAAAATAAATGGATAATATTAATTTTAATATTTTATTTACCTCAATATAACCAAAATATTTTTCAACATATTACCAATAATTATTAATGTGATATTATACAATGTTAAGTCTTTAAAATCTGATGAGTATTTTACATGTAAAGCACATCTGTTAATATGAATGCCTTTTTTATCACAAATACTTGATTTATATATAAATTTCATAAAATTTAGTTGAAAAATAGATTCATATACTCAAATTATTCCAGTTTTCTAATAACTGAAAGAAAAGAATATTTTCCAAGAAAATAATTACATCCATAATGAAAAAAATCCCATTCATCTTTTTAAAAAGAATTGATTTGCCTTCAGAGCAAAAGCATATCAATTTGAAGACTGTATTTGTCTAAGTAAATTCGATTAATTTTGGGTCAGCTCAGTACTGTTAACATCAAATTCAGAATTATGGAATAAATTTAAAAGCAAATTAATAAATAAAACATTTTTGAAATTTTCTTATAGTTTACATAGTAAATTTACATAACAATGTCAAATACAGTTAAAAGTTTGTGCATACGGACTCATATTAGAAAAATGTGTGAAATTATTTATATTTATTTTTAAAAGTTTCTATTTCAAAATAAATTTTAGTGCTTGTCTAGGTAGGACACAAATAGGCTTTTTCTTTTCCTTGCAGCTTCAAATTTAGATCACTGGGGAGATCTAATTTAGATTCAATGGGGAGAAAACCACCATTTACTCTTTTTTCTTTTAACTTTTTTTTAAAGTAAGCTCTTGTCTAACATGGGGCTTGAATCCATGACCCCCCGATCAAGAGTCACATGCTCTGCCAACTGAGCCAGCCAGGTGCCTCCACCATTTTCTCTTTTTAAGTATTAAATAATTGGCTAGCATTTTTTTGTTGTTAAAGAAAATCCTGAACTAGTGTTAACATTACAGTAAGTTTTTACTTCCACAGTTCAACCAACTGGCAGAGTACATAAGATCACTAAATTCATTCTTCTAATTCTTTCAGCAATCCTTTAAGCTGATGTTGATTCATAGTGTTTGCACTCATACAATGAATATTTAACTGTATCCATGACACCTTTCATAGAGACCATTTCAGAAAATTGACAACTATCTTCAAAATGTATCATACAGGTAGAATGAACCAATAAGGGAAATGTCTCATCTAAAAATTTCAATAAAGTATGACATTTTACCTAACCTGGCTGGAGTACCATTTACTGTGATAGAAGTAACTTTTTTCTCATCTAGTTGAAACTCCTGTGACAAATGTAAAAGATTAAAAAATAGCTACACAGGGGCACCTGGCTGGCTCACTCAATAGAGGAAGCAACTCTTGATCTTGAGGTTGTGAATTCAAGCCCCACATTGGGCACAGAGCTTACAAAAAAAAAAAAAAAAAAAAAAAAAAAAAAAAAAAAAAAAAGCTACACAAGGGTCATTTTTTTAGGCCACAAATTCAAACTATTGCTTCACAAACGTTTAAGTCCTGTAAGACAAAATGCACTCCAAGTTTCACCTGAGTTGCATCTATTACATAACTCATCCAAAACAAAGGAATTTTTCAGATTTTAAATCAATTTATCTTTTATATGTAAGAAAGGTCTTGTATTGTATAAACAAAGTTTGGTTACTTAACTAAGGACTCTGCACTTTCCTAATAAGACATTTTTTAGGCTTTACCTCATACTTTTCTAACAATTTCTATTACTGAATATTTCACTATCTATCCATCTAAAACCAGTTCTATTTCATGTAAAAATTTAAGCTGTTTTATAGCTGGCCAAACTTACAAGCTCAACTCGTTTAAAAATTGCTAAAAAAATGTTTTGTTCAGGGGCGCCTGGGTGGCGCAGTCGGTTAAGCGTCCGACTTCAGCCAGGTCACGATCTCGCAGTCTGTGAGTTCGAGCCCCGCATGGGGCTCTGGGCTGATGGCTCGGAGCCTGGAGCCTGTTTCCGATTCTGTGTCTCCCTCTCTCTCTGCCCCTCCCCCGTTCATGCTCTGTCTCTCTCTGTCCCAAAAATAAATAAACGTTGAAAAAAAAAAATTAAAAAAAAAAATGTTTTGTTCAACATTTAATTCTGATTTCAAGTAGCTAAATTTCAATTCTTTTTGACTTTGAAAGATTTCATTCAGTCATTATGCATTTGCTGAAACAGTCTCAATATTACCCAGTCTACTGTCTTTGTTAAGTAACAGCTCGTTTTCCTCTGCCCACAGCCACTGCAATTACCATTCATCATGAAATCTGTAACGTACCTTCTTCCAGCTTGTTTACTGTTCCAGTTGTAGTACTAGCTTCTGCATCTCTACTTCTTTTTCAGTATGCCTTCATTTTAAATTTAAAAATGTGTTCATATTCATGTCTAAACTAGAAAAATAATTACAATTAAAATAGGTATTTCAATCTAATTACCAGTATGATTTGTATAAGTATCACTAGTTCCTGTTGTCTATATAAAATACTCAGATAAAAATGCTATGTTATATCAATTCATAGAAAAAAAGTTATGTGCACTGAATCTGTTGACACCAATTCAGTGATGTGTTTTTATGTAATACTAGACATGACACATGAGTCTGACAGGCACGCTACAAGAATCATAAGCAAGGTAACAAATGTATTTCTAAAAGTTGAGTTTTTAAAATACTTTACACTTTTTTATATTTAATTGAAATTAAAAATTTGCTTAGTCCTACTGAGCTCATTTCAAGTGCTTAATAGCCACACGTGCTAGAGATTACTGTATTAGCACAGATACAGAAATGAGAAAGAGCCAAAAGGTTTGCAATTTTTATTTCATTTTGCATCCATATAATTTCTAGGGCTTAGAACTTGACTGGGTTGTTATTCTTTTGCATCTTAAGTAAAAAGTAAGACAGCAAAAGTGGAAATGGCTGGATGTTCTGTACAGAATATATATCATGGCCCTCTAGCAGACGTGGGCTAATCTCTAACTATGTAACTCCTAAAAACAATCAACTTTAGCTTTTTGGAGAATGCCTTTTAAACAACATGTTAATAAAAGTTTAACAATTGACTTTCAAAGAATTTTTTATGTATAAGAGATGTATAGCACACAATTTACAAATGATAAAAACATACACAATACCCTTTATTGTAAGTTCCATATAGCCAACTGATTCTCACAGAAGGCTTTTGCTGATTTTTGCCTCTTTTATCTGTAGCCAACCTATGGTTACAATTTGACCAGGACATTACAAATGGAGGTGCATCCCAATCTGCTAACTCCTTCCCCAATAAATTTATTGTCATTAAATCTGATATGTGATCTATTGTTAAGCTATTTCTCACCCTTGTGCAAATTATATTCATTAAATTGAAACCTCTTTCAGCTTCAGCATTATTGATTGCAATAGTGTTAACTATCTTTTTAGCTTTTTGTATAGCTATAGGAATTGAAACATTGTTTGATTTTATATTATCATGTACAAATTCTCGAAAACCATTCAAATCAATTTCATATTTTAAAATTTCACATAGATGAAATAATTTTTTTTCACCAGCTATCCATGGTGAAGTTATTTCTTCATAAGGCCATGTAGAAGGTTCTAGCAAGTCAAAATAATTAAAAATACTTTCATCATGGTTTCTGTCAGATAAAAGACGTAAATGCATGTGTTCAATTATATTTTCTAGTAACATACTCCTTGGAAGAGCATTAAATTCATTGTTTTTATTAAATGGAATATCTTTAAACTTATCTGACTTAATCAAACCCTCAATTTGAGACTCATGCTTTCCAGTACTGATTTTTAAATTTTCCAAAGCTCTTATGGTGCGTTTGATCAATTTTTGTGCTTTGTGAATGTTAGTTGATCTTGACTGTAATGCAGTTGAAAGTAGTGAAAATTCTTCAAGAATGTCAATCATTAAAGCAAGGTCTTGTAAGAAATTAATGTTAGATAATCTCTTTGCCAAACCAGAACAAGAATGAGAAAAATGCATATATAATACAGGATATGCATGCCATACAGCAGTAGCAGCTTGTAAACTACATGCTGTCCATCTTGGTCCCATTACCCGGCCAATTTTAACAATTTCAATTTCAAGATCTTTAGCTACATTTTCTAAAAGCTTGTTTTGATTTTTATTAGACTGGTGATAAATGGAATAAATTTTATCAAGAAATAGTTTAAAATGATTAACTTGTTTTATTTCAGATATTGAATCATCAAGTGACAACTGTAATCGATAATTTAAACAGTTCCAAATAATGATTTTAGGAAAATATTCTAACAACTTTGTAGCTACTCCAGACTTTCTTCCCAGCATTGTATTAGCACCATCAGAACAAAATGCAATTAAATTTGCTTTCAAATATTCATTAGTAAACCCACAATCATTTAAAGTATTCAATAACGTATTGACAATAAACTCTGCTGTGGCGGAGACCAATTCTTTTAAAGCAACGAACAACATAACTGGTGCGGGAGCCAACTGAACTGTGCATTGGAGATAAATCACTAGAGTGCTTTTCTTTGAAACTGTAGATGCCTCATCAATTATGATACAGATTTTGGCATTCTCTTCTATCATATTCTTAAATATCTTCATTTTAATTTCTTTTGCAATATGTTCTGCTATTCTTGTTGCACTGTATCGTGTATTTAAACAGCTGACCTCTCCATTTTTCTCTTGTAATTCTATTGCCCCCTCAATATCAGACAAAGGTCTATTATGTTTTACTAAACTATAAACTGTATTGAAAACTTTTATGGTAGCATCAATATTTTTATTTTTTTTTTTATGCACTAAATTAGAAACTGAGTCATTAACTGATTCCTTCAACAGATCCTGAATTTTACCATGGGCTTTAGAAATATCGTGTTCCCTAATTTTTTTCTGCAGAGAAGCTTGTGTAGTAGTTTTATTACTGCCATTAGGGGTTACTAAATATGCAATCCCTTCCTTGGACACATGGACATGCTTTTCTGCTTTTGATCCCAAATGCCGAACTGTTGAACAATCCTTACATCCTAATTTACCTTCTTTTATTTCAAGCCATTTGTACTGTTCTGTAAACATAAATGCTTGTTTTTCATTCCAACAATCCGGAAGCACAAGATTATCTGTTTCTTCCTTTGATGAACATGATGGATTTTCTTCAATGACTGGTTTTTCAACATATTTGAAATTTGATTCCTCTGACTTAGACAGTCCACAATGATTTCTGTTATTTCTGTGTCTGTTTTCACCTTCTTCACATTTAAAAAATGCAAAAAATCTCCCTGTCGTTTTGGCATTTTAGGGAACAGAATCTGAAAAATAATTTTACATATATAAGTCAAGTTCACGATAACACTTTAAGAGTTGATGTAAAAGTTTCTGTTAATGGGGGCGGCTGGCTTAGTCAGTTAAGCACTGACTCTTGATTTCGGTTCAAGTCATGATCTCATAGCTCATGAGTTCAAGCCCTGAGTGGGGCTCTGTGCTGACAGTGTGAAGCCTGCTTGGGATTCTGTCTCTCTCTCCGCCCCTCCCCTGCTCACATGGTCTCTTTCAAAATAAATAAACTTAAAAAAAATTAAATAAAATAACCTGAAGGTGCCTGGGTGGCTCAGTTAAGTGGCCAGCTCTTGATTTCAGATCAGGTCATGATCTCATGGTCTGTGAGTTTGAGCCCTGTGTTGAGCTCTGCGCTGAGTGTGGAGCTTGCTTGGGATCCTCTCTCTCCACCCCTCCCCCACTTTCTGTGTGTGTGTCTCAAAAATAAATATAAATAATAATAAAAACTTACAGGGTGCCTGAGTGGCTCAGTTGGTTAGGTGTCAGACTCTTGATAGCGGCTCAGGTCATCATCTCGTGGTTTTATGAGTTCAAGTCCTGCATTGGGCTCTCCATGGGCAGCGTGGAGCCTGCCTGGGATTCTCTCTCCCTTTCTCTCTCTGTCCCTTCCCTGCTTGTGCTGTCTCTGTCACTCTCAAATAAATAAACTAAAAAAACAAAAAACAAAAAAACAAAAAAAAAACTTTAAAAAAGAAAAAAAGAGAAAGCACTCTAGGTTGAAGTAACAGAGCCCTATATCTAAAAAACCAAAAATAACCTCATTAAAAAAATTTGTTAATGATTTTAGAAATAAATTTTAAATCACTTACCTTGCCTTTCAGTTTGTACCCATAACTTCAATACGACTTGCTATTTGTTGAAAAATTCACTACCACGTTGTTTTCTTAAGTTTATTTATTGTTTATTTTTTAGTAATCCCTATACCCAGTGTGGGGCTCAAACTCACAACCCTGAGATCAAGTCACATGCTCCTCCAACTGAGCCAGCCAGGCACCCCAGTTTTCAAAATTTTATAACCAGTAATGTCATGAAATCTGACTACAAATGTTTATCATCCAACAAAGAAGCTGCTCATATGATTTAAAAATGAGTATAGTTCCAATATGAAAAGTGGTTAACGTTTTCATTTAACGAATAAGGTAAAAAGTGAAAAAAATGAAGATTTATATCAGAACTCTACTCAGTCACCAATGATATCAACATCTTTGTTGAATCAAAGGAGAGTTTTCAAATAATGCAAGTTTTCCTCAATTGTTCATATTACATACAGTTTAGTAATTTACATCTTTTGGCTTACTCTACATTAACATTTTATCCATCACTTTCTGAAGTTCAGATAATCAATAAATTAATTAATCAAGCCCCAATTTTGAGTTTGCTGATTACCGTGGTGTAAATACTCCAATCATGTTGCAGGAGGAGTATGCTGTTATAAAATATTTCTATCATACAGATACAACAGACGTAAATAAATAAAGTTATGAGGAGTTTTGAGTATTTACTACCTTAAATGTAGTAATTTATTTCCTTGTAGGTTTATACACTTTAGTTTTTAATAACGGCTATGTTTAACAAATCAGCTCATAAAACTCCTGAAAATCGAACCATCAGTTCTTGCAAGCCAGTTCAAGCCACCTCTAACACATTTTGCACTTGATGACAAACTGAAAAACCACAGATATAACGTACTTACATCACTATGATAGATGCTAGGCTCTTCATCATCACCACAGACCAGATCAGTGTATTCAAGAACAGGTTTTGATGGTCCTTCCTAAAAAAGGATTGAGCAAATTCACAAGTCATGAAAACCATTCAAACCAAACTTGCATTTACAATCAATAGGTTTTTGTTGTTGTTGTTGGAATTAGCAAGAATTCCTCCAGAGAGGAAGTCTTGTAGGTGGAACAGAATAATCAGAAACAAAAGCAGCACACGAAAGACTCAGAGGAGATGAAGAAGTAACAATGACAAAACCCAAAGAAAAACTAAATCTACATAGAGGAATAAAACCATGTGGATTCCTTTGAAAATGGGAAGGGTACAGGGATGGTATTAAAAAGACAGAGACAGGGGCGCCTGGGTGGCTCAGTCGGTTGGGCGTCCGACTTCAGCTCAGGTCACGGTCTCGCGGTCCGTGAGTTCGAGCCCCGCGTCCGGCTCTGGGCTGATGGCTCAGAGCCTGGAGCCTGCTTCCGATTCTGTGTCTCCCTCTCTCTCTGCCCCTGCCCCGTTCATGCTCTGTCTCTCTCTGTCTCAAAAATAAATAAAAAACGTTAAAAATTAAAAAAAAAAAAGACAGAGACAGACCTCATGGTAGTGTATGTTTTAAATGTATGACTATCAATAATCTTTTAGTTATCTAAGCTCAAAATCGCATAGTTCTTCAATAGCTCTGCTTTATCTTCCACATCCTACACAAGCAAACATGAAGCCCTGATTTTCTCAATTCTTTCTTTACATACATACTACCTGCAACACACGAGGCCTTAAATACCTGGCTCAAAAACCTAGATTTTATTCTATAGGTAAATAAATCAATCAATAGTGTTGAGATAGGAACAACAATTAGAGCTCTGTTTCAAGATGAGGAAAGTATGAAGTGTGGGAAGACTAGTAACAAGATAATCTAGACAAATAGTAATGTACTGATATAGAGTGAAGACCAACAATGAGGAAATACAGTCTTCTGTATATATATTTTAGTAAAATTTATAACAAAGGGCTCTTTTTGTACCCCCAAATTTCTATCATTCCTTTCTTTCAGGATAGTGTGTTTATTTAGCTGCACATACATATATATTTATATGGCAGAACACAAAGGAGATGCTCTAATGCAGAATGAAGGCTGGAAAGAAATTTATATGAAAAGACTAAGGAATCCATACTAGAATACATCAAGTGGTAACATACTTTTTTTTTTTATGTTTATTTTTGACAGATTGCAAGCGGGGGAGGGGCTAAGAGAGAGGGGGACAGAGGATCCAAAGCTTGAATGTGGGCCTTGAACTCATCAACTGTGAGATCATGACCTGGGCAGAAAGACACTTAACTGACTGAGCCACCCAGGCACCCCAGTAACATACTTCTTGATAAAAGATATAAAAGGAACACAAAAAAATGTTCTTTTTGTATCTGAAGAATTCTCAAGCAGAGAACCATACCCAGCAGCATTTCATCTTTACTAGATGGTAATATAAAAAACATGAAGAAATAAGCACATCCTGGTGGAACCCAGCACAGAATGGGGTTACAAAGGGAAGTAAATTCTGTTTCTGAATGTATTTTATTTAATTTTATTATTTTTATTTAAAGAGTTTTTTAAGAGCTTATTTATTTATTTTGAGAGAGAGAACGTGCACACAAGCAGGGGACAGGCAGAATGAGACAGAGAATCCCAAGCAGGCTCAATATTGTCAGCACAGAGCCTAACTTGGGGCTCAATCTCATGAACCGTGAGATCATGACCTGAGCTGAGATTAAGAGTCGGACACCTAACCTACTGAGCCACCCAGGTGCCCCTCTGAATGTATTTTAAAGTAGAATTAAATTAAAAAATAAAGTAGAATTAAATTATCAGTTGTGTGTGTGTGTGTGTGTGTGTGTGTGTGTGTGTGTAACCATTTAAAAGCAACAGAAATATTTTTACCCTCTTTTTTCTTAGATTTTAATGTTAAACTTATTTATTTTGAGAGAGAGTGTGTGAGCAGAGGAGAGGGGCCTAGGAAGAGAGAGAATCCTAAACAAGCTCCATGCCACCAGCACAGAGCCCAACATGGGGCTCAAACCATGAACCATGTGATCATGACCTGAGCCAAAATCATGAGCTGGACATTCAACCAACCAAGCCACCCACGTATCCCTACTCTCCTTTCTGATACTGCAATTCTACTTAGATCCACATAAGCATACTTCCAAAATACTGCCAGGAATGATATTGTGAATATCACAATAAAGTGGGTCAAATGAATTTTTTGGTTTCCCAGTGCACATAAAAATTATGTCTATATTATACTGTAGTCTTTTAAGTGTGCAATAGTGTTATGTCTAAAAAATACATACACAGCTTAATTAAAAAATACTTTATTGCTAAAAAATGCTAAACATCATTTCATCTTTCAGTGATTTATCACTGATCACAGATCACAACAAAATAATGATGAAAAAGCTTGAAATACTGTGAGAATTACTGAACCATGACAAAGACACAAGAGTGAGCAGATGTTATTGGGAAATTGTGCCAACTGACTTGCTTGACACAGGGTTGCCACAAACCTTCAACTTGTAAAAAACATAGCATTTGTGAGGTGCAATAAAACATGGTATGCCTATATAATTCATTTCTCCTTATGGAGCTGTCAAATATTTGATCAATTTTTGGAAACAAGGCTAAATAAGAGGTTCTATCAAGTTGGAGGTACAAAACTCTGGATGCAAAGATACAGGGGCGCCTGGGTAGCTCAGTCGGTTGAGCGTCCGACTTCGGCTCAGATCATGATCTCGCAGCTCGTGACTTCGAGCCCCACGTCGGGCTCTGTGCGACAGCTCAGAGCCTGTTTTGGATTCTGTGTCTCCCTCTCGCTCTGTCCCAACCCACTCGCATTCTGTCTCTGTCGCTCTCAAAAATAAATAAACATTAAAAAAAAAAATTTTTTTTTAAAGATACAAAAGATTCTCTGTATTTAAAATTAAATTCAAATTAAGAGTTTTAAACCTCAGTAAGCAACTCAATCAGACAGCAACTCAGTAAGAATTTAGAATATAATACTTTAATCCACAGAGTGTTACACAAACCTGTACCTATTCATTTTTCCAACCTTAACTTTGTAGAGTCCTTCCATTTCTCAAAGGCATGTGTCATATAACATCTATGCCACTCCTAGTTCTGGCTGCACAAAATATCATGAAGATCATAATGTCCCATTCGCTTTGATTTTTATACCACAGTCAGGAGGAACCAAAATTATTTTTCCTGAAGACCCATAAAATACTCTTTCCAAATACTTTTCAGTACAAAAACAGACGCTGTGGATCTTCAATTTTCATAGTTATATCATTTACTCCACAACACAGGGAAGGCAGAGTTAGCATACAACCTCTCTTTGTACCCCCAAATTTATAAAGTACCAAGTGTCAAAAAAAAAGGGGGAGTACCATGTGTACAATTAATGGGCAAGAATGTCACAGAAATAATCTTGTAAAGAATTTCTATATGACCCTACAAGAAACAACATGTTAACACCACAACGTTTAAAGATGAGAATTTATTTGATTTAAAAAACAATTTATGAAAAAAATTGTGGTTTATCAGGTTGCCCTAAATCTATAGCAATTCAAGAACAAACATACATTAAACAGGCACTCATTTAAAAAAAAAATTATACACCTTTCACAGCAAACCTCAAGTAATTACTGGTTTGGACAAGTTTTTAGGTAGCTAAGACACCACTCTAAGCTGAGTCTTTGCAATTCTTTACAGTTTTGGGTGAAAATCATCTCCAAATACGTCATAACCCC